ATCATAACATCGGTTTCAATATACTCTACTCAGTTGAGTGCGTGACTATAACTGTCAACTCGCCCCTATATGCGAGTCGCCCCTATATGTAACGTGCCCCTATATGCAAGGTAACGTTACCAACCACGGTCCGCCATATTGGTGGAAAGAAACTCAGTGTCAATATGGCCAATATGGCCGCCGGAAAACATCTGGAGTTCACTTTTTCAATAAAAGCACTTCCTTTTCATTCGAGAGCTAGCATACTTGTGCATAAACACATCTCTTAAAACTTGAAATGGTTAAACTGCTGAAAATCAAAAGGGAAAGACTTTTTTCAATGGCAAAGCCAGGTGGCACAGCGTTCTTATTCTGGTGTCACGCACTGTCAGAAGTTCAAATTGCTGTATTTTCGAAATGAAAGGTGCTTCGGGCCTGGAAACTTGCACAAAGATTTATTTTCTATTTATCTCCAACCTAATGTATATAAGAATTCGTAAAACCTCGCTTCTTTGGCTTTGCAATCTGATGACGTGACTGTGAAAACCATCAGTACAAAGTTAATACGTGAATAATAAACAATTTGATGGTAGAAAATTAAAGACAGATTCTTGAGTTCGAGTGAGTTATTTGCAAGAATCATCAACTATTGTGATGGAGGCAAATAAATGGTAGATGCCCTCAGGGCTCTAATCAGTTAGAACGCTGACGAAACAACAGGCTGAAGCGAGAAGTGTAGCGTGACCTGCTTGTCAAAAAACAATGACGTAGGAAATAAAAGCGTTCTCCGATTGGTAACAGAAATACATAATTTTTTTCCAAGACACACGATTTCAAGAACAACAAAGGTAAACTACAAACGGGATTCTTTGAAGTTAAAACGTAGTTGCACAGTTAAATGGAGTTCACTGGGAAACTAAAGAGAGTGGACAGACGACATTTTAAATGATTTGTCGGAGAAGGGAAAGCGAGTTGCATGTCAATATGTCTTGTGATGCCTTTCAGAGCGACACTTAACTTCCGCATTTGATTTGTTCAAAGCTGTAAATTTATGTTGGTCATCCTTGGATTTCCGCGTGAGAAGGAAACTACTGGTGTACTTTATCAGGCCAAGATATTACCCAACATGGCACAGAATAGCTGGGCACTTGTGTGCATCTGCTTCCGTCGTCACAAAACCTATCAGTTCAGTGGAAAATAACTTGCATCTGTCCATTTTGAAGTTACATCACTTGAACTTGAATTAAAAACGCTACTAGCGTGGGTGCGTTAAGCAAAACATGAAGCAAAGGAAAATTATTAATCACTAGTATACATTCAGATGATATGGACTGATATTTGGAGTTTTTGCACATTAACCGATCCACCTGAAAGAAATTACGAAAGCTATGCTTTGAAATACATGTAGACAAAGAACGTTCAAGGTAAAGTTAACTTCAATTTTATACAGACTTAAACTGTTTTCTTTAGATCTCTTTCAGCACACACTTAAAATCAGTTCGCTTGAACAGAACATCATTTTTGGAAGCGGAGATGTAATAGTTTAATTGATCATGTATTTTTACTCTGCAACACTGAACTTGGTTTCATTTTATCACATTTTCATTCTAAAATGCAAATATCTTTTTGTTAACGACTCATTGGTAATTATCAAGTTTGTAAATACATGGGAAAAGATATTAACTTATTATGGGGAGGCGAACGATCTTTTAAACGTTGTTAAATAGTGTTACTACTCGCGCTCGATACATTTCTCAGTGCTTGTTCTCTTTGTGTTTGAATCACATGAAAACAGTCTGTACAGCTTACTTTAGTGAAAACCGTGACATGTCTATCTACGAATTTTGATTTGTATTTTTTTAAACTAGGGAATTCATATTGGTTTGCTCGTAAACAGCAGTTTATTATGCTGTCGTGACATGTATCTCTGTAAATTAAACTGAGCCAGACAAATTGCAAAATCACTATTTTAAGCGATTCCGAATCGCTTAAAATAGTGATAAAATAAGTTCTTGCTATCTTCTTTTTGCACCTTTTAAGTGAATAATTTGCTGTCACTGGTTGCTTGTCAACATTGACTTGGTATTATTTTAATATATTCTCAGTTTAGCTAAGGCGACAGGGATCTCTTACCCCAATTTTTGCTCAAAATTAACTCTAAATGTTCATTTTATTTAGCATGCTAAGTGGTAGATATTTTAAAAAATAACCCTTAAAAATTCAACGGATAATATGACAGATTATTTTGCTCTTGGACCGGTTACAATGCATGTTTGTATAAATTTTGGCGCCAACTTTTAAAGGGCGCGCGGTCGCGCGAGGAACAGGAAATGAATTAGGTCTTTTGGGGCATAACAAATATGGTCAATATGTGCTATTTTCTGTGTATTTCTTGTCCAGAATTTGTTCTTACACTTTCAAATTTCGAACTATTGAATTGTTCGTTCGTTTTCACAGTATATAAGGAGGGCATTTGTACTGGAATATTCATCCCAGGTTTCAGGTCTACTCGCACCTATAGCACGCTTCATTCACTACGAAAGTTCTGTAGCCGAACACGTCCGCCGCAGATCTGGAGCAACCAGCCTTTCATCGACTGTAAGCTTGGTGCATTCACTCAAGTCTACTTTTCCATTTTCCACCTGAAACAAGCTACCCAACCTGTATTTTCTCTACTTGTCTTTCTTCTCTGTTTTTCTTGTGTCATCCGAATAAAACATTTTCCCTATTTTGGGGCGATGTTTTTGTCTTCGATTTTTTTCGGTCTTAACTGAAAATGATTTGGGCAACTTGTGAGAATATTTTGGGCAAATGGAAAGCCATTTCAGAATCTCTTTGTCAAGACTAAATACAACTAAAACTAGGACTGGAATAAAGAGTTGCTACGCTTGTGTACGTTCCTTCACATTGACGAGCCCGTTCGGCTAAGCACTTGGCTAAGGTATAATAAAACTGGTAAAAGCCTTGTAAACCTACCGACTGTTTAAAGTTGTCCCAGTAGAGATACAAGGAACGTTTTGGAAACTCATACTTGCAAATCCTCGAATATAGGGGAAAAACTTGAAAACTGTAGCCTCTTTCTCCTTTCGCTGTAAATTGTCCTAGACGGTTCATAGTTTGAGTTTCCCTTGCATCTATATCAACTTTTTGAACTTATTTGGTGACCTTTTCATCTGATTGGCTGCGAGGCGGGTGAACTCTTTTTTTTCTGAGTGACTGCTACCCCGAGGAATGCCAAAATGCCAAAATGCGAAATACCGCCAAAACATGACACTGCAACTTTCAGTTTAATTTGGCACTCGTCTCCAGGGTCTTCTCGTTATTGAAAATCGAGAACCTGCAGACGAGGTTGAAATGAAAAGTTAATTGCAGTGCCGTTCCAAAAATTTGCCATTATGAGGCTAGACCGATTGCACATGTTGGTATTATTCTTATTTCTTCCTAATCGTAACGCCTTCGCCTCGATTAATAAGAAAATCGTGCTGGCACAACCCACTGTAATTTTGGTCTCGTACGATGGTTTCCGGTGGGACTACATGGAGAAAGTTCATACTCCGAATTTGAATGTAATCGCAAGTAATGGCATCAAAGCGAAACACCTTCTCAATACCTTTGTTACCAAGACATTCCCGAATCATTTCACGTTAGTTACAGGACTTTATGAGGAAAGTCACGGGATCGTAGCAAATACGTTTTTCGATCCTATTTTCGACCTATTTTCAACGACACTTTCTACTTAGATGCCGTGTCAAAGCATTACTTGGATTCAAAATGGTGGAACGGAGAACCGGTGTGGATCACGAATCAAAAAGCTTTTAAGAAAAGCGCTGTGGTGTTTTGGCCTGGTTCAGAAGTGAAAATAGAAGGCCAGTACCCTACACACTATTTACCCTATAATCGGTCACTTTCCTTCGAGAAACGAATAGATTATTTATGTACAATGTTAGAGCAGGATGATCCTCCAAGCTTTTTGGCCGCTTATTTTAACGAGCCAGATCACAGTGGGCATAAATTTGGCCCTGATTCACCAGAGATTAAAAGTGTTATTCGTAGAATGGATAATGTCACTGGATATCTGTTGGAAAGTTTACGAAATCGAGGATTGTTGAATCAGGTAAGAAGATCTAAGCTTAAATAACAACCAAAGCAATCAGTTTACTGTGAAAGGTTGACATCAGCTGACGACAATTGGGTCATCAACAATTATGTACGCGATGATGACGTTTATTTAAGCTTGATTACACTTATGGTGTGGCATCACAGAGCCCTTTCCCTCCTTGGCATTGTCTGCTGCTGGCTTGTGTCACAAACAAAACTAAATCTCGTATTATGCATGCAGCAATTTTACTTGTAACCATCCCCCCCGGGCACACCCCCGGGGATTTGCAATATTTTTCTTTCCTGGAGGTCTATTCCCCACTCCCAGGCACGCAGAAAGAGACAATTCCCCAGCCCCGAGCTTCTGATCAACCACATATACGTTTTTTGCTGCATCTGTTGATGCATACAAAAGGAAATCGACCTGTTTTCACAACTTTTATGAACGTTTTCCTTGAGGGAAGGATAACGGATGTCGTAATGTAGTTTTTAAAAAACATAAAAACTAAATTTGAAAACAAGAACAAAGCAGAAAAAACTCCTTGAAAAGAGAACACTTCATGAGAACACTGGACTGAATCACTGTTTCTCTATATATATCACTAGTAATAGCTGACACTACAGCTGCCCCTGCTCGGTATATTGCCGCTCAATAGTATTCTTGCTCGTTGTGTAGCTCTTTGAAATATACCAATTCATAAGGAAGATTTTCACACATATTCCACACAATAGGTGAGATAAATACAGGAAATGCAAGGTTCCATGCACAGTTTCAGGTTGATTTACACAGCTTTGATCAAAACATTCTCAGTTTCGAGAATAGTTTATTCTAAACCATAAGAAAAGATTTAATAAGAAGTTGAATTTTTTGCTATTTCTCTTTCACTTTTTACATTCAGTTCATTTTATTTGCCGGAAAGGAAACCTTAGAAATTGAAAGGAGGTTTGATCAATTCACACTCACGCATAGTCTTATTTTAAACTTTATAGCAGAAGGACATCTGTGAGCAGGGAATAAGTCAGCACAGAATTTGGTTGTCGGCGAATTTCTGTAATCGTCCATCAATATGCTAGTTAGAAGCTAGCAGTTGTTGTTCACTCGTCTTGCTTATTCCAGTCAAAGAGAGAGAAAGAGTGTCTGGCAAAGGTTTCCAATGAAAGATTTGTGAACTTGTGTCTGGCAAACTCTCCAAGTGTTTATATATACACAGTTATACGCACCTTATAACTTCTTCTGCGCTTAACGAGAGTCGTTAAAATTTTGGTCCATAACTTTCACTGAAACAACTGCTCCACAGAATGTCACTGATAACACATAACGCAAAAAAGTGTTGAAGTATGACTGCACTATAAATGTCACAAAATTAAATCTACCTAAGTGGTCCCTTGGGGATGATCCATCTTTACGTCATCCTAACCATTTCGTACTTGGGGTCGCAAACAATAGAAACGCCATCATTACCTACCGATTCCTTGCAGCCCCATTCAAGCAAATCAAGATTTTTTCTAAATTGAGTGTTTGACTGTATATTTCAACTGTAAGTACTTTCCTTAATATACGCGCGAGTTACTAGAGTGCCTCCTCGGGATTTCGCCTTCTGGGCAAAATCCCTGCAGGGGCAAAAAGCCTTGTATTCGTTTTCATATTATTATTTAAAGCTGAGCTGAAGAAATATTTCTTTCCTTCCTTTTTTAAAAAATAAAATCCATTCAAGTATGCATCATACGCACATTTGTTTCAAGTGTTAAAACATACCTTTAAATACAGACTTTATTTTGAAAAGTTATTCTTCTCCAACCACTCTCCGACAAATTCCTGCCAGTAAAGTTGGTTGAGATAGGTGAAGGACAAAAAATACATACTGTTTTGCTCTTCATTTGTTGTACTGGATTTATTCAATTATGAAGAGGGTGTCTTTTCGTAAATGCTTGTGATATGTTATATATGTGGTAAGATTTAGTAACTCTTTACGTGTCCCATAAGATTATTATAATTAGGTAACTCATGGATCTAAATATATTTCCATTGTATCTATACGACCCATTTTAGGTAAATCTTATTATCACAAGCGACCATGGCATGGCAGATGTCAACAACTCCCGTCTTATCCAGCTGGATCATTACATTCCATCAGACTGGTATACACTCATCACTGATCCAAACAGGGCAGACCATCCTTCTAATGTGTTTTTTCATATTCTACCCAAGAAAGGAAAGTTGAATGGCACCTACCAAAAGCTCAAGACTGTTCCACATCTATATACATACCTCAAAGAAGAAATACCTGAAGAGTTTCATTACAGCCATAACCGACGTGTCATGCCGATTTTCATTGTCGCAGAAGAAGGATGGACCATTACAAAAAACAAGTCGAGAATAGACAGTCGTGGTAACCATGGCTACAGTAACCAATTCCCTGATATGCATCCCTTTTTTCTTGCCCAAGGACCTGCATTCAAAGAAGGCTTTGTTTCAGAACCATTTGAAAATGTGAATATATACTCTCTTATGTGTCATATACTGGGCATTGAACCAG